TCCCCCCACCATCCCCCCCCCCGGCCCCAGCGAAGACTCAGACGCTTCCAGCCAAGGGCAGCCCGGCAGGGGAGCGGGCCCTGCAGAGCCGATGCTCCGCCCCTTTCCCCCTGCCCCCCAACTCTCCGCCCCCTCCCCCGCCTTCCTCTCCCCGTTGCTTCTTCCCCTCTACTAAACCCCCACCCAAATCTGTGCTGCAGGTCACTCCCCACCCCTCCCCTCGGGGAAGCCCCCTCCCCACTCCGCTCGGCACCCCTGTGCACACGCCCAAAGAGAGCCCCAGCGGCACTCCTGGTGGAACGCCACCGAGCAGCCCTGGCGTGGCTGGCGTGGCCTGGAAAACCCGCCTGAACTCCATCAAGAACAGCTTCCTCGGCTCCCCACGCTTTCACCGCCGGAAACTGCAAGGTAAGCATGCGATGGGGCTCCCTGTTCTGGGGAGGCACATTTGTGTGTGTGCGTGGGTGTGTGTGAAAGCTGTAATCTTTAATCACCTGCAGCACTGAAGGCCAAGTTCTCCGCTGTCAGATGAGTGTGTCAGTTGTGTGTAAAGTGTTCGTTTCGGTGTGTGCAAAAGCAATGAATTTTAACTGGGCTTGGAGTGTGAAGGTGCCCTGAGTTGCATGTGAGCAGCTAGGGATGGAGAAGGAACGATCGCGGAGATGCTGGTCAAATGCAGTGTTTTCAACCTTGGGTAACCCAATGGTTCTAGGACTGCAGTTCCCATAAGTCACCCAGCCTCCTGAATGACAGCCGTGAGGAAAGACAGGGAAGGGGGCTCTGTTGACTTCATGGTGCGTGGCACCACCCGACAGTTCAGTCCCAGCAGAGCCCCAGTGGGAAAGTAAGCCTGGGAAATGGAGGGGTTATGTCCATTTTGTCTCTCCAACCTTCACCCCAACCTTTTCCCGCTGCTCGGCGGCTACCTTCTTACTCATGAGTAAACCTTGCTCTGTATGGGCCTGTAGCATGGAAGGAGAGGACCCATAGCACAATCTGCAGTATGAAGGATCACTCAGGTGGGAGTTAAAATAGATCACACTTTTAAGAACTTTTTAAGAATGGACCAGAGCAGACCAAATTTCCCAGAGATGGTTGAGAATGAATCTGGGACTTTTGGCCTAGAAAGTCCATGTCCTCCCTGAAGCAAAGGTGCAACATTTTTATGAACTTCTCCATTATCATCCGGT